AAGCCGCGATTATTTTAATCGCGGCTTCATTTCCCTCTGCCGATCTGGCTAATCTACATGCCTCCGTCGAAGGAGGCATGTAGTCTAGACACACCCTCAGTTTCTCTTTCCTTTCCATGGGACTCCATAGTAAGATTCAGAAAAAGGATTGGATATACAAGTCTTCTGAATTAACCTCTTAATAGGACACCCTTGAGATATTTTTTTCGACAGTGGTGGATTGGTCACACTGATGCATTGATCTAGGCTCACTGATAAAAGGCAAGAGCCTAAAAAGTCAGTTTTAAAAAATGTTTACACTCTAGAGGGCTTCTCTAGTGTAACTCTGTGCAGGTGGGAAAGGACATTAGGTCAGTTTCCCTCTCTTCTTCGCAATGTAGAAATTACCTCTTCTATTGTTTTGCATTGTAGTTCGAAGTGTTGAAAGAGAAAAGGTTTCCCATCAATTCCCTTACTCTATGCCACAGCCAAGTACAAATCAGCTTCGGGATGTTTTTCTTGCTTTTCAGCCTAACTTTTCCCTTCCTAATTTCATTCCATTAAGTCTAGTTAGACTCCCCACCCCATTTATAATGCTACGTTGCCTACAATTTTAATATTTTTCAAATAATTTTACAATGTTCTTCACATCTCAGATGCTTCCAAGAAAGGCCAAAATAATTAAATGTTTAGTTTGGATTAAGTCTGGAGAACACTTTACAAATATCTTTAACAGCTTTTATTGCTGTTATAGACAATTCACGTCTAGTTTGCTGTCCTCTATCATTCGAAAGACCTTCTATACATAATTTTTGTTGTTGTTGTTTAGGTGGGGGGTTGTTATCAGTAAAGCCACATCAGTGATAGCAACAAGAGAACTGTACTGTAGACTGAAGTATGTCATTTTCCCCACCCTCGCAGTACAGGCAGTCCCCGAGTTATGCGGATCTGACTTACGTCGGATCCACAGTTACGAACAGGGCCCTCCCTCTCCCTGGTCTCCAGCAGACCAGGGAGAGGAAGCAAAGCGGCGGAACACGCAGGCAGCGGACAGCCCAGACGCGTCTGGGCTGTCAGCTGGCCGCGTGCTCCACGGCTTTGCTCTGCTCTGCTCCCCGTCCCCCTGGTCGGATCCGCGTAACTCGGGGACTGCCTGTAATGTAATGGATTAATTGTGTATGGATTACAAGTAATGTAATCCTAAATGTCACTTAATCTCTGTTTAAAATAAAATCTAGCTGAAGCATGATTTTGTGATTTTAAGTACTCTTTGTCCCTTTAGTTATTCAAGGCAATATTATTTCCTGATATTTATCCCATTGGTTGTTAAGTTCCCAAGATCTATTCCCTTTTATTCATGTGTACAAAAATCTAATTCACACTTCTTTGTGAATGTCATTTTATTACTAAAGATGTTTGAGTGACAGAATTAAACTACCTATGAAACTCAAATTGCATTTTATTTTTGACACATTTTACATAAAAAAGTAGATTTTTTTAAAAGTAATTTTTCCTTTTGTTTCCCCTGCCTCTCATTCAGTTGGTGTTTATAGCTAGAACTCAAGAGAAAAAGAAGACTGCAGAGCATGACAAGCTTCTTTAACTTAGGTAACATGACTAAAAAGTGAAACAAAATGTAGTTCTCTCAAGTTACTGTTCCGTATGTATTTCATAATATTGAAGATACAAAGGTTAGGCTGAATCTGGACGCCAGTTCCGACTTACATACAGATTCAACTTAAGAACAAACCTACAGTCCCTATCTTGTACGTAACCCAGGGACTGCCTGTATTTAGTTCTGTGCAGAGGCAGATTAATATTTCAGCTTTCCGTTCTTCCAACAAATGTGCATGTGTTGAATTAGCTTTTCCTAAATATGTTCACTTGCACTTTTCCAGAGTCTCATTTTACTATTTTCTGCTCATTTCTCTGATTTTATATCATATAAAGTAAGATAATAAAAGTCACAATGGAATCCTCTTAAAGGCCAGAGGTAGTTTTCAAACAAAACCTAAACATAAAACTCTGCTTTGCATAAAAATGCATTGTAATCTGAACTGCTACGTCAATATACTGTTCATTTAAAAGATTTGAAACTTTCATACTACCTTCAATATATAAAACTGTAAACCTACTGAATAATACACTAGAACATTTTGACCACTGTGTACTTGAACAATGTCACTACATTGTCTATCTCTTTTCTGCAAGCTAACTATGTTTGATTTCTTGTTATACAAATCCTCATCCATTCTAGCGACGTTAGATAGCGTGTAACTGAATAGTGATGTAACCACAACAAATTTTAGTAATTCCATCAGTATTTAAAAGTGGGCTCATGACTGCTCCCTGCCCCCACTGCCTCTGTAGACAGCAGTAAGGGCGGGGGCAGGCGGGTCTGTGGAGCCAGCACGCGTGGAGAGCCAGGTTAAAAGTCATTTTCCTGTGCCTACTGGCTCACACCTCTCCCCGCCCCCTCAACCTCTACACTGCTGCCTCTCTATCAAAGGCAACGGCGCAGGGGGAAGGGGGAGAAGGAGGATCCGGTGCTCATAGGGAGACTAATTAAAGCTAATCCCCCATGAGCACTGGCCCCCACTCCCCTCCCACTTGCTGCCTCTGATACAGCAACAGCATGGGGGATAGGAATGCATGTAGTCAACAAAATTAACCAATAAGCCCAGCCTCATCGATTAATCATGTTGTCGACATCCCAAACCTATTCTACCACAATAATCAATGCTGGACTATAAAGCCTGCCTTAAATGATGAAGTGGACTAAATGTAACTTAATATTGAGCAGTTCTAAAGTTTTCAATATTGTTTTTACTTATTAAAGTAAGGGGTATGTTGGTGAATACAGCTCCTCCCCCTCACTAAAAGCAGAGACAGTTCCCCTCTCCTGTTTCAATCTACTTTAAGTGGCTATTTTATCTTCTAGTACTGGATGGGGTGGGGAAGGACGAGAAGCTTAGAGATTTGCAGTTTCCTACACTGGACACAAAGCACTTTCACTAAGAGATGAACAGCAGGGATTCTACCTTACTCTTCCCAAAATGAGACTCAGTTTTAATGCCAGGTAGTAAAACAAAATTCTTGAACTGTGTTATTTTGCACATTTACTGGGCATAGGAGAGACATGGCTGGGAATTATACATGAAAAGGAAGTTGATTGATTAGCTTTACCCCAGGTTAGGGACGTTAACCAACATGTATTTGTATAAATGTGTAACTGCTCAATTTTTTAGTGGTTACCCCTTTACACATGGGGGAAGCACCAGCTCCTTTTTCCCCCCCACTGCCTCTGATAGAGAGGCAGAAAAGGAAGAGGCAAGTTACTCTGCAAGAGCTGGTATGCACAGGGAGCCAGCTTGAAAGATAGCTTCTCGTGTATACAAGCTTCTGCAGGTCCTTCACACCCACTGTGCTGCTGCCTCTCCATCAGAGCAAGCAGCATGGGGGGAAGGAGCAGGCAGCTCTGCAGGAGTTGGATCCCCCATAGTCACCAGCTCCTGCCTCCTCCCCCTTGCTGCCTCTGTATCAGAAGCAATGGAGGGGGGGGGGGGGGGTGATGGCATGTAACCATTACAATTAACCTATGAGTTCAGGCTTAACAGTTAGTCATGTAAATGGCTACAGGCTAACATCCCTACCCCAAGTATATGTTATTGAACAGCTAGTATGTTGAAATATACCAACATGAAACCTGTTGCTTATGTGTTCCAACAGTAAGGAGTACCCAAGGGTGCTATAATTAGACATTCAGCTTTGTAATGAGCAACAATGTCAAGAGACTTGCTTTATAACATGAAGTGTACATATAATTATAGATGCAACAGTCACACTACACTTCATGTTCTACTTCAAGTGCAAATATCAGTATAACAAAATCTTGTTTTGCATCACACTTAATATAGTCTTCAAAACTGGTACAGAACAATCACATTTTCCATGTCATTTTTAGAAGAAAAATATTTACCTAATTCTGCAAAGGAAACATTTGAAAGTGCTTCCCTTTTTAAAATATTGCACTTTGTCCCACTCCCCCACAACTTTGTGTTTATTTTGTTAAATTACCAATTCCAACCTACTCCAAGTTTCTTCCTCTTTTCCTCCCCTCCTAATCCCAGAGTAGCACCACACCAGACACAACTTTAAGAGTTAAACAATGGCTTCAATTTTCCAAAACTAACTAGTGATTTTTGGGTCTCCAACTTAGTTCTGAGCACTAGATATGCTTTCTCAATATCTTTGAAGTTACTTGTCCCATAACTGATGTACCCCAAAATCACTTTTCACTTCTAAAGGCTAGTCCAAGGGGAATTCTTCAATTGTTGCATTTGGAGCCATAGTGAAACTGCACAATTCCCCCAGAACTGAAAGACTTAAGTCAAAACATTATTGCCCTTTTTTGTCATCCCCTTAATTTGAGTTTGACAAAAATCATATACGCTTGTCAAATTACTTTTGTTTTCTGTTGTCTCTATTTTAGCTCCCCATGTGGATAAAACTATAATATGGAGATATACCGTCTCATAGAACTGGAAGGAACCTTGAAAGGTCATAAAGGGTCCAAAAAGGGAACAACAGATTTGCATCTGTGGAAATTTTCTAACCAATTCTGTCCTTGATTTAAACAGCTGTGCTCTGCAAGTGCACTTGGTAAACCCAAGAGACATGCTGGATGGTGCGGTATGCTGGAGTGGGCGGGGCGGAAAGCATGTGACAAATGAGACAGTGTCAAACCCAAGGTGGGGAACAGTGTCTGGAAAGGGCTAAATGGATACTGGTATTCAATATGAAATACAGAATACATCACCTCTAAATCAGTGATTCAAAGTAAGATCTTGTCACTTACTTAGGATGTGTCTAGACTACTGAGTTTTTTGGAAAAAAAAAAGTGGCCTTCTTTCGAAAAAACTTCACCTGCATTAAGACTTCTGTCGCATTCTTTCAAAATTAAATTAAAAGAACGCAGAGGTTTTTTCTAAATTGGTAAGCCTAATTTTACCAGGAAGAACACCTTTTGTCAAAAGAGCTTTTTCAAAAAAAGGCATTCTTGAACACAAACAGGGCTTTTTCGAAAGGAGTGTCCAGATTGCCTGATGCTCTCTTTTGAAAAAGCGGACTGCTTTTTCGAAACTCGTGTGGCTGTCTAGACAATCTCTTTCAAAAAGAATCTTCTTTTGAAAGAGGTTTAATCTCTAGATGTACCCTTAGAGTAACTTGGCTACCCCTCTGAAACTCTTGTCACTAGTGTTTTTCAAAGGGTTATATTAAATAAAACTATAGTTTCAGTTCTTAGCAACACATCAACAATATCACAATTGTCACATCTTGCTAATTTCCATAGAGAAACCTGGAATTGAACAAGCCATACATTCCCCCTAAAACAGGAGTTTCAAGTTAAGGCACATTGCTGAACAACAATGTAACTGCCACTATCCATAACATTTCTGCTGCACAACTGGAGGGCTTACCTTGACTGTTAATCCAGCATTAAATTCTCTCTCTCACACACACACACTCACACAGAAGCCGTTTTACTTTGTGCACTTTTAGAGCAAGAGTAGTCACAAAAACAAGGCTTATCTATGTAAGCACTTTCTCCTCACAATAAGGCATACAGATTGTCTGTTTAAAGACAATAAAAATAATACGTGGATTGGGGCAAACCCGGGTCTTACACACATGGCTAAAGCTTGCCTCATCACAGAAAAGAGTAAGACAGTTTTCATAGAATCATAGGGCTGGAAGAGACCTCAGGCAGGACCAATCCCAACTAAATCGTCCCAGCCAGGGCTTAGTCAAGCCTAGACTTAAACACCTCTAGGGATTGAGATTCCACCACTTCCCTAGGTAACCCATTCCAGTACTTCACCACACTCCTAGTGAAAGTTTTTCCTAATACCCAACTTGAGACCACTGCTCCTTGTTCTGCCATCTGTCACTATTGAGAATAGCCTCTCTCCTTCCTCTTTGGAACCTCCCTTCAGGAAGTTGAAGGCTGCTATCAAATCCCCCCTCACTCTTCTCTTCTGTAGACTAAATAAGCCCAAATCACTCCTCATAGGTCATGTGCTCCAGCCCCCTAATCATTCTAGTTGCCCTCTGCTGGACCCTCCCCAATGTGTCCACATCCTTTCTATAGTGGGGGCCCCAGAACTGGATGCAATACTCAAGACATGGCCTCACCAGAGCCGAATAAAATGGAATAATCACTTCTCTAAATCTGCTGGAAATCCTCCTCCTAATACACCCTCATATGCCATTAGTCTTCTTGGCTACAAGGCACACTGTTGACTAATATCCAGTTTCTCATCCACTGTAAGCCCCAGGTCCTTTTTGGCTGAACTGCTACTTAGCTAGTCGGGCCCCAGCCTGTAACAATGCTTGGGATTCCTCTGTCCCAAATGCAGGACTCTTCTGTGCTTGTCCTTGTTGAACCTCATCAGATTTCTTTTGGCCCAATTCTCCAATTTATCTACGTCACTCTGCACCCTATCCACCTCTCCCCCCAGCTTAGTATCATCTGCAAACTTGTTGAGGGTGCAATCCTTCCCCTCATCCAGGTCATTAATAAAGATGTTAAACGAAAAGGGCCGTAGAACCTATTCTTGGGGCACTCCACTAGAAACCAACCACCAACCAGACATAGAGCTGTTGATCACTACCCATTGGGCCCGACAATCTAGCCAGTTTTGTTCAACTGGGTCATTTGTATACCTGTGTTGCCAGGGAAAAGACATTTAAAGCTATTATGTTCAAGATGGAGCCTCTTTAGATTCCATCTTGTTTTCCTTCTTCTCCCTGTGTTACCCTTTTCCCGCCAAAACCTAAGTGCACACGGTCATCTGCTCCGTGCACCCCGCACTATAGTTTTCACTCAGTCCAAAACTGTGCACTGGGCACTAAAATGAGCTGCACATTGCTCAGAAACTGTGCACCCCTCCCTACTGGAGTGTTGCACACGGCACCATTTGCTGCACACCACCCTTACCACCCTTTTCCCACCTTGAAGGGCTTATAAGCCCTGACCAAGGAAGGGTTCGGGTTCGCCACTGTCAGTCTGTATTGTAGCCTGTCAGTCACTGTCTGCTGTCCCAAGTCCTGTCAGTGTTTGTTCGTCTCCCGTGGTGCTCCATTTTAGTTCATGGGACCGGGTATAAGGATTTTGTTCGAGCTGGGAGAGAGAGAGAGAGCCTCGCGAGTGTGGGAACGCCCCACTTAAGGATTACTGGCTTCTGCCACATGGACTTGGACTCATTTACCGCTATCTTTACCTGCTGGATTGGACTGGAAGTCGAAGGGCTACCAAGTACTAACCCCAGAGGGAATCTACCCGACCCATTAGAGGCAAGATCCACCTGTAGGAGGGCCGTTCAACTGGACTACCTTTCCCTGTCAACGAGGGACTCCCTGCCGTCCTCCCCTAAGGCTTTACATTAGCCGCAGGGTAGAAGGTCGCAGGCATCAATTGCCATCTGCCTCTGACACTGTAAAGTATATTCCCCTTTGTTGTACCCGGGACTTATCTATCTCCTTTTCTTCTGGGATAGGGTGAGTTCACGCTGTTGTTGTTGATGTATGTTACACTGTTCAAAAATATATGGTTTGGCCCTAAACATTGGTCTAGCCTGATTTGTGGTTACCCAATCCAACGGTGATTAGATACGTAACACCAGGCCGAATCTGGCTTCTGGGAGGGGACACCCGGCTTTAGGCCGTGGGCTCAGTCATTGCCATTAGCCTTAACTTCCACAACAATTGCTTACCTCAGTTCCCCAGGTAACACCTGTTATTAAGAGCAATTGTTTTAAAAACATAATGCTTTCATGCCATCAAAACAAAATAAAACTTATTCTGAATTTAACTTGTTATTCCTTTAAGACACCCAGATTATTAATGTTTATATCCTGTCCTAAAGAACCAGTGAGAGTTTATCTGCAAGTCAGGTGCACTGAGAGAACACACTTGAATCCAGAGAGGTTCCTTCTCATGTCCTTCAAATATATATATATTAAAAAAAAACACACTCAATATGCACAGCAAGCATGTTGGTCAGCTGTTTACATATAAACAAGTTATCTAGAAATCTAGAAACAAAGACACATTCCAGAATTTTTCTTACCCTCCAATAAATTACATTCGAATGTTCTTACTGAAAATGAATCCATGTGTTTTGCAGGTATTTTATAACCATTTTCTAAATTTCACTGATTTTGCTGTGTTTCTTTCCTTCATATATTCAACAGCTGAAATTTAAATTTTTTCACAAGAGGCTTACGTTTTTAGTTATAGAATGTACTTGTCACTCTGAGTTAGACACCAAAATGCAAGTTATTTATTTGCTGGAAATATGTTTAAATATTGGACCTGCACTTCATTAACACAAAGGATGGAAAACTCCGAGATGCCACCTGCGCCAAACAATTTGAGAATGCCTGGTTTCAGTGTGGAAATATTCTGTTTCCTGCATACAGTGACCACAATCCATTATGATTTAGTTGGCAGAAGGAGGAAAATATTAGGCATGCTAGACAGCGATTAATTGAATAATTGTGTAACCACATCAAATTTTAGCAGTTAGATGATCAGTGTTCTCTCAAAGCTGCACAGCAGCACAGCCCTGTAGCTGCTTAATCAGTCCCACCCCATCAGGGGCTGCATGTAAAGAGCTGCCTGGATGGGCGGGTCTGATCAAGAAGCTGCAGGGCTGTGCAACTGTGCATCTTAGAGGGAATATCATACACCATTATTTGGTAGTCCCCAGGGGTGGGTCCAGCAGCCAGTGCATTCCCAGTCAGCCTCTTGACACTCCTCTATAGTAGAGGCAGCAACATGGGGTGGCAGGTGGAAGCACAGACCAGCAAGAGGCAACTTTCCCCAGCATCAGGGCTGCTAGGGAGAGCAGGTCCTCGTCCCCAGCCTCAGGTGTGGCTACTATGGCAGGGAAGACCCGGACTGACATTAAAATGATTTGTGTGCTTTTATTCGTACAACAAGGTTAATCATAAAGGTGTTTTTATATAGCCCTTTTATCCAAAGTGCTTTATAACAGTTAGCTAATCGTACAAACTATATTTGAAAAGATTATTAAGACCCACAGCAATTTTCAAGTGGTCTGCAAAAAAAAAAAGTTTGAGAACCACTGCTCTAAGAGCTTTTCCGTTAGTAACATGCCCATATTTTTATCTGAAACCAAAGAATACTTAAGATGATATTTTAACCTATCAATACTTTTATACCATCCTTTACATAAAAGCTATGTGTTATTTTTTGGAGAGTTGTAATGGCTTGAAAACAAAGTAGAATAAATTAATAAAGCTGATCCCTTTAAAAGACCAGTCCATGGTTGAAAAGTCTGACACAATTACTTAACATAAAGGCATCTGATCTAGTCACTGCCTCCCACACTACTTCAATGAAGGGTTATTACATACCTTGACAATCTATGGAAAGTAGGGATGTTAAATACTGGTTAGTTGAATAGGCGATTGACCTCATGAATTCTTATTGGTTAGTTGACTAGTCTATAGTCCCAGGCAGCCCCTGTCCAGGGTCGGGGGAGAGGGAGTCTGAACTCCCGAACCTGGTAGGAGTCGTAACTGAGCTGGGCTGCCTTCCCGCTTGGCTACCAATACACTTTAAGTGCTGTGGGGGTAGGTCCAGGAGCCACTTCAAACTAGGACTAATCTTGGCTGCTTAGCCAGCCTGCTAAAACATTGACTGGCAAGGGGTGGGGGGAAGTGTGTGTAGTGTCTATAGCATTAACCTGTAAGCTTTTGCTAATCAGTTAATGGACTATACTATTACATCCCTAGTGTAAAGTGTTAATTTTAACATGCTTCCTCAGCCTTTTTACATGCCACAACACAAATCTCGTGCCTATCTTAAATAGAAATTTACTGTTATATTGCTGAAGGCTAGAGGCAAATATCACCACAAGAATAAAGGAAGATCACTGCTACTTCCTCTGTGGTGTAGGCATATCTATGCTTGTCCCACCATCTCTCCACAATGCTGTAAGCCGGATGGATTTTAAAAGTCTACCAGCTGCTAACAACCGAGCACAATGCACGGAGTGGCACCTGTAGGTCAATACTGGGGATAACCGAATTCTTTGTAGCAGGCTGAGGGGGCAGCAGGTTATCCTTACGGACCTACGTGGATAACTGAGATAGTTCAAGGGAGAATGCTTACTGCCGTTGGGGGGGGGAGGGGTCGCCACAGAGGGACGGCGG